TTCTCCCCATGTGACTCTCCTTAGGCCCACTCTACGTCATCAGAAACCTGTTTTTAAGTCAAGAGAAACTTCAAAATGTAAGCATAGACTATGTATGTCTGCCCTAAATTGTATTTTTGGCCCACGTTTTCTTTCTACCTGTCCCCTCCCTGCCAGCCTGTGGGTCCTGGAGAGCTGGTCCTGCCCAGCGTCTGAAGGGTGGTGGGGTCTCCAGGAGCAGCTTCTGGGGGCCCTGCCTTGGGATGCCTGAGTCAGAGTGTGCGCAGTCTTTGCGTCCATGCAGGGAAGCTGCTGTCATTTTATCCTGAGGACAGGGAATTTTGATAAAGACTAGGAAGAAGCCCAAATATATAAGTACAAACAAACTTCTCTGAAAACTTACCAGTTATTGATTACTATTTTCACTTTTCCTACTATAATGGATTTATTCTTCCACAGCCTTAAGAAAACATTGAGTCTTCACTGAGGAGATGAAAAATGGTTAGAGGTATGGCTGTCCCTCAGCTGCTGAGGCTGATAGCCAAGGCCTTGTACTGAGCTGTCTTCCTCCCCCAGCCTCTGGGACCCTCAGGCTTCTAGTTTTCTTTTTGGAGACAGGCTCACTAATTCTGGAGATAAGCAGAGCTCATGCTTGGGGTCCTCTTGCCTCAGCCTCCCTAAGTACTGGGACAGCAGGTGTGCGCCACCATATTCAGCGGCTGGTACGTTTCTGGAGGACATTGACAGACTGTCCTTGAGGAGGAAATTACCGTGATAGTCAAGTCTGGAAAACATTCTGTGTGAGGAGGGATTGAATTATTTGAGCATGTTTAGCATGAAGAGAAAGAGCAGAGTGAAAGTGTAGGTGTGTGAAGGAGTTGAAGGATGCTGTGTGGAGGAGGTGTTAGATTTGCCCCCATACTGCTCGCAGGCAGAGCAGGACTAACTGGTGGGGCCACTGTGGGTTGACTCATCTCATTATCTGAAAAAAACTTGCTAATAGCAATTCCAGTGTAGTGTGACAGTCTCTGTTGGGGATGAGACACTTTGCAGGTGCTGGCATGAATGGGACATGGCAGCTGTTAGAGATCCTTTCAGGAGCCTGGGGTTGCTTGCAGAGAAATGGGGAGAATTTCCACTTAATTAAATATGTTCCCATAGCGTCTGCTGCACTGCTGACTGGAGTGTTGCCACGTGGTGTGTGGCCGTGGTGTTTCTTTCTTCCCTACCCCGCCCCCTCCTTTCCTTTGTGGTGCTGCCTGGGGATGGGACCCATGCTCCATGCCTGTTGTTCACCTCTCTCACTGACCTATATCTCAACACATGTGACAGTTTATGGATAGAGGAAAAAAAGTAATCCAGCAGACATTTTCATAGCAAATGGAAATCCTTAAGATTGAAATTTTAGAAATAAAGCATGATGCTGGGCTAGTAGGCATGGTAGCACTCGCCTGTAATCCCACCACTTGGAAGGCTGAGGCAGGAGGGTCTTGGCAAGTTTAAGGCTACTCTGAGGTGCTTAGTGAGACCCTTGTCTTTTGAAAAGAAAAGAAGGGGCTGGGGAGATAGCTTGGTGGTCTCAGCACCTGCCTGGCAAATGCCTCCAAAAAGGACTGGAGTTCGATCCCCAGTACCACAGGCCATGCCAAACCTGGGTCTGGTGTCACATGCCTGTAATCCCAGTGCTGGGGAGGCTAAGACAGGAGGATCACTACAAGTCTGAAAAGAAAAGAAACAGCTACTATTCTGTAACTCTTAGACATTAGCCAGAGTTCACTAAGTACTTTCTGTTTTGATAAGAGCTTTGTGTTTTAAGGCCTTATTATGAATATTTGATATGAAAACTAGGTATCTTAAACCTGGTAAATCTGAATAAGATCGCTGCCACCGTTCTGTCATAGGCCTCAATAGAAGTGGCCACTAGAGAGAACTCTGTAATTGATTTTTAAGATTTTCAGGAATTTGTGTGCATTAAAAATTTTTTTAGATAATTTTGGCTTCCTGTTAGCGATCTATGATTTAATATATCTCTTCTTTCTTGAGACATTCCTAGAATTCCTCTAAATTTTTGCTACCTTAGTAATAGTAAAAAAAATAATAATAATAGTAACATTTACTATATATTGATCACTACTGTGCCCCGCACTGTGATGCTGTATCACAATACCTTAAGGCTTTTTGGGGTCTCCAGGCAGATCCTGCCACACCCCATCTTGTAAGTGAAGTAATGCCGTGGCCTGGAGCCTCCGAGTGGAATGTCTTATCTGCGTCTCAAGTCACTGAGCCCATTCAAAGCCTTGTCTTTTCTTGAAGTTCACTCTTCAAGCTCCATAGTTTGCCCTTGAGGAAACAGGAAAACCAGACTCAAAAGATGTGTGCTGAATGCCTTTTTTAAAAAGATTAGTGACTGTCCTTGTTGAAGTTTCTAATTCCCTTGAAGAGTTACTCACGAGGACTTTAGGCACCAAGGAAGGTGCTCCTGCTCTCTCCAGTATAAACTTCAGCTGGCTTCTTTTCTTTTCTTTTCTTTTCTTTTCTTTTCTTTTCTTTTCTTTTCTTTTCTTTTCTTTTCTTTTCTTTTCTTTTCTTTTTGGTACCAGGGATCTAGCTCAGGACCTTGAACTTGCCAGGCATGTGCTTAAGCCACTGAGCTGTCTCCCTGGCCCCGACACCATCTTTCAGGAAAGAGGAAGGAGAGGCTGTGGCTGGGCTGGGCTGGGCTGGGCTGGGCTGAGTGAGCTGAGCTGAGCTGAGCTGAGCTGAGCTGAGCTGAGCTGAGCTGGGCTGGGCTGGGCTGGGCTGGGCTGGGCTGGGCTGGGCTGGGCTGGGCTGGGCTGAGAGGATCCCTTCAAGGGTCTGAGCTTGAGGAAGCCATCGTGCAAGTCCGTGGAGGTGGTGCTAAACCATTGCAGCGCGAAGCTGCCGTCCCACGTGCATTGAGCATATGTAGACGTTGTGACGGACTCAGGTTGAGGTGCTCATCACGGTGTTGTTACCTTGATGACCTTAGAGGAGATGGAGGTGTACTGAACAGGTCTCCCCCAAGTGCCTACACAGGGCCCTGAGCTGTGTGTCGCAGCTTTAGATGCTTTCTGTACCATCTACTGCCTCTCTCACTGCTGCTGGCCCCAGATTATTTTATTCTAAGATGCTGTGGAGTAGGAAGTCAAAATAATTAGCTGTTGCTTAAATGAAAAGTTGAGTTCAGATAAGACCAGAGGGGATCGCTCGTGTGCTCGCAGCTGAGCACAGTTGCGCGTGTGTACAGGGAGCACATAAACGCCTGTTAGGCGTTCTCACTGGTGGAATGAAATGGTGAACCGCTCACATCATGTTTAACATTTCCCCCTTTTCACAACAGAGAAGAAGATACAGAAAATGAAAATGAAAAGAAAATCTGGTACTACAGCACAAAGGTCCAGCTTGCAGAATTAATAGACTGTCTAGACAAAGATTACTGGGAAGCAGAACTTTGCAAAATTCTAGAAGAAATGCGGGAAGAAATCCACCGGCACATGGATATAACTGAAGACCTGACCAATAAGGCTCGGGGCAGTAACAAATCCTTTCTAGCAGCAGCTAATGGTGAGAGGGGAGTTTTTCTCACTGTATTTCTGTTAAATTTGAAATCACTACGAAACGTGAGCATATACTTAAGATTTCCAAGTTATGCATATTTTGCTTTAATTCTCTATATTTTATTTTCCCAGGATGCCTTCACTCTCAGTAAGCTAGGGATGCCATACATTTTAGTATGTTGTTTCTTGCTCTGGTTATTCCGAGCATTCCCTGCATTGTTTATTGGTGCTGGGATTGGAAGCATGGCCACACACCTGAGGCAAGCATTCTGTCGTTACACTCTACTAGCTAGCCACAGTTGTACTTTCAATTAGGAGAATTATCTTCTCACCAGGCGTGGTGGTAGACTGCTGTAATTCTAGTACTTGAGGGGCTGGACAGGTAAATTGCTGTGAAATCAAGGCCAACTTGGGCCACTTTGTCCAAGGCCAGTCTGAACTATATCCAGAGACTATGTCTTTAAAAAACAAAATTAAAAAAAAAAAAAAAAAAAAGCGTGGCTTGGTGGGGCACAGCTGTAATCCCAGTACTTGGGAGGCTCAGTGGGGCAGTGCTTGCCGAGCATGCCTTGAATCAGTTCCCAGCATTGCCAAAAAGAAAGGAAAGGAAAGTAGAGAAGGCGTTGCAGAGCCCCTGCAAAGCCTTTGTAGCCTGTTAAACAGTTTTGCAGAGCTAGTGAATCAGAATTGATACATTGTTGATAGGTAAAATTCATACTTGATTTAGATTTTCCTACTTTTTTTTTCCTTTTTTAGTTTTTGAGACTGGGTCTCGCTCTGTAGTTCAGGTTGCCTTTAAATTCACTGCGCATCCCAGGCTGACCTTGAACTCCCAGTGATCCTCCTGTGTCAGCCTCCCAAGCGCTGGAATTGCAGGCATGCACTATCATGCCCAGCAGATTTTGTTATTTTTTAACCTAATGTCCTTTTTCTGTTTTATGATCTCATCTAAGATACACCACATTATATTTAGTTACCATGTCATCCTCTAGACTGCCAGTTTCTCTGGTTTATTTTGGTTTGGTTTGGTTCTTTTGTGATATGCCAGCCCAGTCTGGCCTTGAACTTTCAGCAGTCCTCCTGCCTCGGCCTCCCCAGTGCTGGGGCTGTGGATGTGCACCGTGGTGCCTGACTGTTCGTTTTTTTTTTTTTTTTTTTAATTTAATTTAATTTTTAAAAATTTTTTTCTCTTTTTTTATTGAGAAATAAATATGAATGAGACAGTTTCACAGCTGATTAATAGGACAGTTTTGATAGTTAATATGCTGTACATTGTTATCTTCTTAGGGGTTATCCATAGTGCAAGAAGCAGACAGGATATTCTGTCCAAACACTGTTAGTACACCTCTTTCTTCTCATTGAGTTAAGTGAAAGTAGCTGTAAATTTATCCTATTTTGTATATATAAATACAAAATGATCTTTCCCTTGTATCTTTTTTTAAAAAAAATTTTATTTTTTGTCCTGTCAGAGGTGAATATTCTGTTGGCATCTAAATACTATAAGTGTTTGAATTCAACTAAACATCTAATACTCTCTAGCAGTCTATAATATTAGTGGGTTATCCTCAGAAGTTATTGACTTGAGCCTTTTACAGCTCATCGTATTAATACGGATTTACTTTATATACCTCATTTTTATACTTTTCCACTGGATGGTTACGACCAAGATATAGCAAGTCCTATATACCAGAATTGTAACTTTTGTGTCTGATAAGGTCAGCCAAGTACTCTCAGGATTTATCCTGTAGCCCTGTACCGCCTTTTGTACATCCTTTTGTCAGTGTCTGACCTGAGGATGAGTCACGGCCATTGCTTGACCAATTTGCTCTCTGTGAAAGCTTGAGAAAATGTTTTTTCTCTCCAGGTGACTCTCCTTAGGCACACTATGTCATCAATCATGTTGCTCTGTGGCTCCATAATCTTCTTGATCAGAAAATTTGGAGCACAACTGAGTTACATGTTGTTACAGTACAGGTTCTCCTATGTCCCGAGTCTTCACTGACCTTGAAAGGCTGGGGCCAAAATGTTGGCTAATCATGCAGCCCTTCCTTTTCTCCAAATTTTGATCTGCTAGCTTAAGTTGTTAACCCTCCAGAAGAGAAGCTAATTATTAACCTGCAATATATGCAGTTCGGTTTATCCTATCTGTAGAAATATCAAACATTTTGGCATATCCTGGAACAGGTATTTTCCATCAGATATTGATATGTTGAACTTTAAGTCCTTACAGAATATGAAGGAAAAATAATTATATAAAAGTAGAAATAAGCATTTACATATTTTTACAAAGAAATTTAGAAACCTAGTCATATACGGAATTGTAAGTCCTTATATTAGGGAGATAATACGATATTTACAGATATGGGTCTGGTTTATTTCACTAATAAGTATATCTTCAAGGGGCTGTTCTTTGTTTTTGATTATGCAATAGTTTTGAGAGTCCTGCTCTGGATTTTGGAGAATGTACCCAGTGTGGGCTTTTCTTACATTGTTCTGGTGTTTAGCTTGGGCACTGGATTGTGGAGAGGAAGACTGCAGTGTGGAATGCCACTGTCACTGCCGAAGTCGCCTGCTGTGCAGTCCCCCTCCCCCCGGCCTGTGTCACCTGGAGAGTAGCAGGTGGGAGCCACACTCCTGGCTCCTGGCAAGAGCAGGGTCCTCTTGGGGTACTTGGAGGCTTTCTGCACAGGTCTATCTGTTCTCTAGCCAGCCAGCCATTTCCATCAGCATAGATTTGTGTTTAATTTATACTTTACATTATGATGGAGTACTGCCTTTATTTGTTTATTTATTTATTCATTTGTTTATTTATACTGGGGATTGAAGTCAGGGCCTTGCGCTTGCCAGGCAGGTGCTTATGCTACTGAGCTACATCCCCAGCTTTATTTCCTTGCTTAACTCTTTGATTTTTCTTTTTATTATAATGTCTACTATTACTTTGTTGGTGTGCCTTGAACTGGAGCCTTTGGACTCTAGACACTGGGCTCTGCTGCTCCTCTGTGTATTGACTGACTTATTTCAGGACAGGGTCTCCCTGTGTGATCCAGACTGGCCTCAAACTGGCAGTAGTCCTCCTGCCTCAGCCTCCTAAGTGCCGAGATTACAGGTGTGTGCCACCAGGCCTGGCTCTTTTTTTAGAGCAACATGATAATAGCATGGTTCACAAACATTTTAATTTGGAAACAAAAGCATTTGGCAAAATTTTTCTTCCATTTGCAAATTCCATACCAGGTGACAAACATGGCCCTAGCCATCTTCCCTGTACAAATATAAATGTAGGCATCTTTCCTCAAGTCGTAAAATAAGTTTATAAAATGATGTATATTCTGAATACCTTTTTTTTGTCCTTTTGAGACAGGATATCTCTAAGCAGTTCATGCTGGACTTGGACTCACTTTGTAGCCCCTGCTGGTCTCAAACTTGCAACAATCCTCCTGTGTCAGCCTC